GACAGGAATCTGCATTTAACAAGGGGGCTGCCAGCTTGTTCACCTCTGCTCCTCCCTCGGCTACCAGCCGGAGGATGGTGGGAAGTGCCTGGCCTGCCACCCTGCCTCAGGTGTTCGCCGTGGCCATGTTAACCTCTGAGTCCCGGTTCCTTCGCTGGAGATGGGATCACAGCCGCCCTGATCCAGTCAGACTGAGGCAAGCCAGAGCAGGGCACTGTAAGGAGCCAGGCCTGACCCGTGAGCAACACACAGAGCAGCAGCCTAAGTCCTCCCAACACGGAAGGAGCAGCCCGTTGTTACTCCCATTTTGCAGATGGGGAGACTGAGGCACGAGGTGACCAAGCAGCTGGCCTGAGGTGTCCCCGAAGGGCCGCCCTGGCCTGAGGTGTCCCCGGGCAGGCCCTCCCTGGCCCCTCTCCAGCCTGGGGTTCAGTGGCCTCATTTGACAGCTGTTGTGCTCCTGAGCTGCCCGCAGGCAAAGGCGCCCGGTGAGCAGCAAGGGGCGGCCTCCATCTCCAGAAAATGGAAGTGCACACCCCCAGCTCCTTCCCTTGCAAGGACAGTCATGTTCCTTTCCTTTAAACTCCTGTTTGTCCCCAGGAACCCAGTTCTATCACCGCTTCCCCTGGAGGTTCCTGGGCTCCCAGTCGGGCACACCCATCCCTTCCTGGGCAGCAGTTCCACAGGGGACGAGGAGAGGGAAGGCTTCCTGGAAGAAGAAGCATGGAGGGGAGCCCCAAAGAAGGGCAGGTGAGGAGGAGTGGGATGGACGAGGGAGCAGAGAAAAGCCTGGTGGACTTGAGGAGTTGAGTTCAAGTCCCATCGAGGGGCCGCGTGGCCCCCGCTAGTGATACTCGGGCCTCGTCTCATGAGGGAGCTTCATCGACAATTAAACCTCGTGTTCGTGCACGGCTGCACCCCAACTGCAAGGCTGAGCCCACGGGGGAAGGACCTGCCCATCTCCATTCCCCTCTGGATCCTTCTGACAGCTCCTCATCGCTGCTGGGTTCCCAGAGCCAGAGGACCTGACTGTCTCCCTCAAGTCCCCAGCACCCAGGACAGGCAGAACTCACAGGAGCACGTGGGGAACACCTGTGAGGAGACCCATACTGCCCGGCGCCGATGTCCGACTGCTGAACGAACACACAGACACAGGGAGGGACGCAGGCTGGCGTGGATCTACGCTCAGACACAGCTACACAGCTACACAGCTACACACGCCTGCACACTCATACACACTCATACACATTCACTCACACAGCAGAGGAACGAACAGATCAGCGGATTCATGCAGGAACACACAGTTCTCACACCCACATAACCCAACCCCAGCCCCGTCCCCAGCCTCGGTCCGGCGGGCCTCAAGCCGGTTCAATCTCTCGGCGGCCTTTCAGAGCCTCTTTTCTGCCAGAGCAAGCTCGCTCCACCACCTCCCTAGACGCTCGGCCCGGCAGAGGCAGATTCCCAGCTCACCCCCCGAGGTCAGCTGACCCGGCTTGGCCTCTCCACGGGACGGGCGGTGTCTGTGCGGGAGCCCTGGATGGGAATTGTCAGCATTCCCTGCTCCCAGAGTGGGCGTGGGTCTGGCCTGGCTTTATTAATTGCAAATTAATGCTCTGCTGGGTGCTATTTCCGTACATGCTTCTTCCACCAGCAGGAATGCAACCCCGAGCTGCGCATTGCTCTCATTCTTTCTGCCGACCAGAAGGGCGAATATTTTTAGAAACCACGCCCTCTGGCAGTGGCCAGATAAGTGGTTTCCAGATGCCAGATGTGCGCTGTGCAAATCCACATCAGGCAGGGCAGGAAGGAGACAGGAGCAAACCACACGGCTCATACCGCCACAGGAGTGGCGCGGGACGAGCCTAGGCCAGGAGCATCTGAGAGCCCAGGGGTGCCCACTGCTTACAGCCACTCAGCCGGCAGCTCATCTGCGCCAGAGCCCCAGGCCTGGGCCCTGCTGAACACAGTGGGCAGCGGCGGCCACGTGGCTGCAGCCCTTGTCAGCAGGCGCCCTTAGCGGACACAGCGGAAGACGAATCGGCACCAGCTGAAACACACTTGAAAGAACCTCGGAAGTACGTGTGAGACGATGAAGGGAGAATTGGCCTGGAAGTCAGACGTGAGAGTCCCAATCCTGGGCAACAATCCGTCACTGCACACCAAACTCTTCAGGCCCCGCCGGGAGCCCCGGGCTGTGAGGACCTCGCTGGGAGACAGGCACGAAGGCCTCCGGATTCCCTTCACCACCCCGAGCACATCGCTTAGGCTTTCAGGGCGCAGTTACTGAAACGAGGGCTGGGAAATGATCATCAAAGTTCTTTCAAGCTCCATGACGCTCAGATCTTAGGAGCTTTCCTTGAACAAGTTCAGGAAGAACAAGGGACTCAGAAAACGGGAAGACTTGATTTCTGTTTGGGACACATGTGCAGGTGCACACATGTGTGTGTGCGTGTGTTTGCGTGTGTGCAAATGCCAGCAGAAATCCCTAAGGAAAGGACAAAGGCATGCCCAAGCCTGACCTATACTCTCCCCTCTGTGCTATTTGCCACCTAACTCCACACGGTCCGGGGCGGGGCTGGGGCTGAGGCTGAGGCTGACGCAGATGAGCCATTCTCCGGCCACTCCATTGTTCCCCGTACCCTGGCTTTCAGAATTCTAACCATTCTTCCCTTCCACCCGGGAACTGTATGACTTGGCAGGAAGCTATGCGCCTTATCACTGCTGCGACTACATCATGGGACACGAGGTCACCCTGTGCCACAGAACCTAATCCCCCAGCTGAGCTCACATTCCAGGCCTTGTAAAGACTACATTCAGTTCTGAGTGCTCCAGGGGCAGGTGGCAGGCAGAATCTGGAGAGAAAGTCACCGAGGTTGATGCATGACACAATCCCTTAGAAGGCCAGGACCCGATTCTCTAGGCAGGGCCCCTCCCCAGCACCCAGGGCAGCCAGCTTCCAGCTCAATTCCCCCTCCTAGGGCCGGCACTGATGAAGGCTCCTGGGGCAGGACTGATGAAGAGCTATTTGCTCTGGGTATACGGTCTCCCATCATCTTACTGATGCCCCAGGACTGGGCATAGGTACACAGCACTGCTTTGAAAATACTCACTGAAAAAAGGGCGAACCAATAAAAAATAAACCCGAGACAGAAACTGGCACTCACCCCTGACAGATAAGGTAACTAAAGCTGAGATCAGTGAATAATTTACCCCAAAGCTGTAGTCAGTGAGAGGCAGGGTGGCAGTGAGGACCAGGCTGAAGAGCTCCAAAGCCACAGCCCTCAACCTTGACCCACTGGTACAGTGCTGAGAGTCTATAAAAACCGAACGGACGGGACATCTCGTAGACCCCGAAGCAAGGCCGGGGGTTGTGCAGCGGAGGAAACAGGGCTACATGGCTTTCTCAATGTCAAACAGCTCTTAGCCAGAGCCCAGAACCTTCTTACTCCTTCTGGAATAATCCACCTTCTCAGCCAGAAAAGAAGACCTGAGACTTCACTTCCTGTTCCCAGGTGAATGTCTCCAATCAACTATCTTGTCCTTACTCCCTGGACTAGGCAGAAACATGAGTGCGATCAGCCCCTCTTTCGGGACAAGAGGGCATCAGGGCACGGCTCGTAGGGGCCTCTCAGAGGATGCTGGGGCTGGTGTGGCTGCCACAAGATCTACAGACAGAACCCAAACACCAGAGGACTCCATCCTCCCAAGCAGGGCAGGGGTCTCCTCATCACCCTCCGAATGACAGCAGCCACCACAGAGAGGAGGAAGGGGCAGGATCGCTCCAAGGCTTTGTCCAGGCACAGGGACAGTCCATTAATGTCACGAGAGGCCAATCGGAGGCTTCCTGTGGAGCTGGGAGCACTAAGCCCATTTCATCATGAGGCCCATGTGGCGAGCTAAGTTTATTTTGAAACCGTATTTGCTTATTTTGCAGACGTGATCAAAAGGATCCTGGAAGTCTCCCCAGGAGGCGTGGGGCCCTGTCGGCCAGGAGAGCTTTCTCCAGCTCCAGCAGCAGCCAGCAATAACACTGGTCCAAAAGTAAACCCCACTGTGCTACTTCCCAACAGCAAACAGCACCTCTTCCACCAGGCTGGAGTGCCGGGGCTGCCTTCAGGGCTGGGAGGGCTGGGGGAGGAAGTAGGAGACTAGGGGGGAAGACAGCAAAGTGGCCAGGGATAGGGCTCTAACTCTAAACTCATTCAGAAGCCCGACATGGTGGCGTACACCTGTCATCCCAGCACTCTGGGAGGCTGAGGCGGGAGGATCCCAAGGTCAAGCCCAGCCTGGGCAACTTAGTGATGTAGCACAACCCTATCTTAAAATAAAAAAAAAATTTTTAGGGCCGGGAATTTAGCTCAGTGGTTTTGCCGCCTGCTGCGCGAGCACAAGGACCCGGGTTCAATCCCTGGTACCAAAACAAAATTTTTTTTAAATGGCTGGGGATGTAGCTCAGTGCAAAAGCCCTGGGTTCAATCCCCGGTACTATAAAAACAAATAAACAACAAATAAATAAATAAAATGTGGTCCCTGCTAGCAAATCCAATATGATGATGCAAACTTGGAGAGCTGGTTTCAAATTCCCAGCTCCACTATTTACTGCTGTGCTGCCCTGGGTGAAGGGTTTCACTCTTCTGTGCCTCTGTTTCCAGCTGTCAGGAGATGTCACTTACAGGGAAGTCAAGCAAACAGGACGTGAAGCACGTGGGAAATATATGGGACGGTGTAAAGACTTTTCTGGTGAGGATTTGGGACTATGAGCTTCCGGGGCAGGACCTGCAGCCCCATCACCTCTCAATCTGGTACGAAATAGGGGCCCAGTTAATGCTTGTTGGATTTCACCTGAACTGAACCGGGAACTCCCACAAGAGCCGCTCTGGAAGCTGCTGGGCAGCCCAGGAAGTGGCTGCCTCCCTCCCAGCTGTACCTGGCTCAGGCTCGGCCACCACTGCCACTCCCCGCTGGCACTACCCAGCGATCTTGAGCCAAGGGCTCACCTTGATGTTGCAGTTGTCATCGAGCAGGATGTTCTCCAGCTTCAAGTCCCGGTGGACCACGGCATTCTGCAGGGAGAGGACAAGGAGAGGTCAGAGTGGATGCGGTGGGAGGGGGAGGAGGAGGCTGAATGGCAGGCGCGGCCGGCATTAGGGGAGGAGGGCACCAGCCGGTGGCCAGGGACAGGAGGGCATTAGTCACTTGTTGTGCGGTTTGGGGAAACGTGACCGGAATCTGTTCTCCCTCAGAGCCCGAGGGACAGCAAGGGGCTTCTTCGGCGGAATGCAACTCCAACTCCGTGCGTGAGCACGGCATCACCCCGGGCCGCAGACCAGGGGGTCCTGTCTGCAAGGGTCCCAGGGAAGGGACACGGCCCTGCTGAGGCACACAGACTCTGTCTGCCTGTCTGTCCACATCCCCCATGCCCCAATCCACCCTGACTCTGAAAGCCGCCCCACCTCAGCTCAGCAAAACCCAGGGCGGGAGGGAGGTGACACAGAGCCATCCGCCTGACCAAGCAGGACGTGGCCGCACAGTGGGACGCCTCCAGCCAGCAGACCGGACAGGCTGGCGGCGGGGCCCCAGGACAAGCAGCCCAGCTCAGGGTGCGAAGGAGCTTGGCCCGCGGCCAGGGGCTACACCGAGCATGGGCTGCACACTTCCTTTCCCTCACCTTACCAGGGCGGGAAGAGCAGCAAGCCCGAAAGAACTGGCTGTTTAGGGCTGTGTGGAGAAAGGGCAGGGTGCAGGCTCTGAGCGCCATTCGGCATAAAGCACATCTGCTCTGAGCTCTGCTCAGCACTGGCATGTTCACAGCCGTGCTTTACTGTGTATTTTCCTCCTGCCTGAGAGTTCCTAACCTCTCCAAAAGCGCTGCCTGCAGAGATGACAACTTGGCATCTCTGCCTCTCTTCTCCTAATCGGAGCCCTGGGGAGGTGTTTTATACTCGGAAACACACACCACTGAGTCTCCTGGCGGACAGCCCTGCACACCAGGTACCTGGTTTGGTTTGGACATTTGTTTGGGTGACATTGTTCCCTTCCTGGCATTCACAGGGAGACGGGAGAAAGCCGCCTTCATACAGAATCCAGTGTTCACACATTGCCAACAATGAAAATATGCTCTGAGGGCTTTCTAGCGACACCCAGATGTGTCACAAAATACTGTCCCCAGAGAGGTCAGAAACCACTTGTGGGTGGAGTCTGGGACTTGAATGATGGTAACTTTCTTCTCCCTCATTTGTAAATCCTCCTGTATAATGAACAGACAGCACTTTGACAACTCGGGAAGCATTGTGCAGAGTCACAGGGCCCCTCGGTGGCCAGGCTGGGCCGTACCTTGTGGCAGTAATGCACGGCGGAGACGATCTGCCGGAAGAAGTGCCTGGTCTCCCTCTCACTGAGGCGTCTGCGCTCGCTGATGTAATCGTACAGCTCGCCTTTGCTGGCGTACTCCATGATGATAACAATCTTGTCAGTGTTCTCGAACACTGAGAGGAAGAAGAGACAAAAAGAGCCATTTATCTGAGTGTGGTGGCAGGAAGCGGGAGGACAGTGGGGATGGAGCAGAGTGGGTGCAGAGGCCGACAGCTACCAGGGGCCGGGGATCACGCTGAACATCTGGCGGACTCCGGTGCGCGCCCAGCCAGGGGACAGTGACGGCCGTGTCTCCTGGACATGTTGTGGCGATGCTAAGGAAGTGTAGTCAAGACCCCTCCTCGAGCCCCCAGCCAGCAGAGTCCCTCTCCTGTAGACACCACAGTGGGTACTGGCACAACCGCCACCTATTAGCCATGCAATGAGGACCAGGCCCCTGGACCTGCCACCCAACTCCGACACCAAGATGGCTGCTATTCTGCCAGGACCACTGCGGCCCCTGGAGCTGGGGCCCTGCCTCCTGCCTGAGGCCCTGTGCAGCTGGCCTCCACACCATGCAGACAGCGCTGTCTGCAAAGCTCGTCAGTGCTTCTCACGCCCTATGCCCAAAGCTCTCCAGCAGTGAGCATCAAACTCAGAGTTCCAGGAAGACACCCAAAGACCAACACGGGACAGAAAAGAGAAGGCCCAGAGAAGGACAGGCCCTGGTCCCCAGAACCACCTCGTGGCAGGCAGGGTGCAGCATCACCTTGAGGGGCTTTGGGAGCCTCCCCAGGGACTGGCGGAGCACACTTCTTACTGTAGATGGCTGGGTCATAAAGGCGTGGCCTTGAGGTCTCCGGCTGGTGCTGCCCCTTCTTCCCTGGCTCCCTGGCCTGCTCTGCTTCCCAGCTGTCGTGACCTCAGCAGCTTCTCTCCACCCAGCCCTTCCGCCATGATGTTCCCACCTTGGACCAGCAGCCATGGACTGAACCCACTGGAAACTGTGAACTAAATGAACCCTCTCTTCCTTTGAGCTGTGGGTGTCAGGTGCTATGGCCAGTGATGCAGGAGCAACCAATAGACAACTCAACCAAAGCCGCTCCACCGGCACCTGTTTCACGCTTGGAGCTCTGACATAAACGTCCTTTGAACAAAGATAAAATAAGTGACAACTGTTTCGTGATTCATCCCTCCCAAGGGAGATGGTATAAAAAATTTGTGGGGCACCAAAGACCGCCCTGCAGGGCCTGTGCCTCCCTCCCTCCGCCTCCCTCCCTCCACGTCCTGAGCTCCTCCAGTGCCCACCAGGGTGGGACTATGTGCCATTTCTCACAACTGTGTGGGGAAACACACACACACACACACACACACACACACACACACACACACTGCCATTCACCCCTCCCTCTGCCTTTTTATTCCTGCCATTCTACCTGAGAGGGAAACTCAAACTGCACCCAAACCTGCCTGCCTTCTGCCTCTCACCGTACTTGGCCACAGCTGCCTAGTGACACTTTCAAACAGTACCCATGTATGTTCTGGGTTACCCATCCATTTCCTCTGCCAGGACTGTGCCTAGACTGAGAGCCAAACTCTGCAGTCTGCCTGTCCCCGGGCCCCGAAGACACCCTGGAGAAAAGGGTGGCCCAGTCACACGCAGGTAAGATGTCCAGAAAACGGATGGGACATTTCCTGTCCCCTTGTACTCCTAAGCACACCCAGAGGGGCCTGTCAGGCCCAGCCTGAGCACCAGATGCACGAGACAGTGTCTAAGGGGCGAGCTCGGCCGCTCGTTGTCAGGAGGCCAGCTGGTCAGAGAGCAGCCCATGGGGCCAGGCCTGCTCGAGAGAAGAGGTCACCCTCACCGGGGTGTCATGGGTGAAGCTGGGGAGCCCTTTCTTAGCAAGAGGACCCGCGCTGCAGGCCTGCTCTGCTCGAGCAAGCACTCTACACACAGGTAGGCTCCTGCGAGGGTCACCTTCCAGCTGATGGGGACACTGGGTTCAGCCAGGCTGCTAGGAGCCACCATGGCTCACAGGCGGGGACGGGCAGGGATGGGGCCCGAGTGTGGACCCGAACTCTTCCCAACGCCCACATGTGTGGCCCCTGACCTCGCTGTCCTCCCAGGCAGATGAGGCTGACGTTTCCAAGCACAGCCACAGGGGCTCAGAGCTGGCCCTCAACACAGCGTCCCAGCTGTGCTCCATGGATGCTCTTCCCACAGTGACTTCCCCTGCTTCTTGGGCCACTCTGGCAAAACAAGACCCTCGGCTTTCCTCTGCCCGCCAGCATGACTCTTCCCAAACGGGTCATGGCTACCGCAGAATCTCGGACTTCTGAGCGGGAAGGGACCTAGCGATCACCTATCCTTTTTCCAGAGCAGCCCAAGATGTAAAACGCGTAAGAGCTGGGCCTGGGGAAATCACACTGAGGAATGCCAGCTTCTGCACCCCGGGCCCAAGGCTCCATGTCCACGGTTCTGGTCACCATCGGTGGGGTGGCAGGGACATTCTTGGCCATTCTTCTGGCAAAATGGGCTGCTCCCTGTGGGCACCCTGACAACGGATTATTTATAAGACCAGAAATCTCGTCTGTGTTTGTGTTATTAGTCACTAAGCAAAAGCGTATTTTGCAGCACTTGGGAAGGGCTTCCTTTCTGGAAAATGAAAGCCTGCGTCTCTTGGCCAGACATTTCTACCCAGAAGCCCAGTGGCTCCAGAATGGTAAGAATGGTGGCCCTTGCCGTGCCAGGCCTACAAGGAAACTTCACGCCCCGAATAGCAACTTGGCTCAACCTGAGGCGGCCCAGGGCTCCGGGCCAGGCTCATGCGGCGCACAGCCTGGTTCTGAGAAAGGCACCCCAGTCTGCAAAGCACCTACCGGGCAGGGGCAGTGGGACCCTCCGCCATGGCCTCTTTCTGTCACTAACCACCTCCCCAGGGATATAAACCACCCTCTCGTGAACATGCTCAGCGAAAAGCAGAGATGCGCTTTGCTATTTCTGACGTGTTAAAACAACAGCCCACGCACTCGATTCCTGTTCCGGGCTTCAGAGCGCAGCACCACATGTGTGAGCATGAGCTGTGGTGGCCCTGTCGGCGGGGCCTGCCTGTCCCCCTGCTAGAGACCCTCCCGGGTGCGGCTGGGTCGTGTCCTGTGTCCACTCCACTGCTGAGAAGACGCGGGCTGTCTCCTGCAGCACCCAGACACCCCAGGAGAGGGACCGTGAGAAGCCTGAACGGGCCTGAAAAGATTCCTAAAGAAGGCAGCACCCGAAATGACTCGGGTTTTGCTTTAATAAGGTAAGTTTACTATTATTTTGACAAATCCTAAAATACCCACGCTCTTGCCTTTTTCTTCAACAGAAGGGACACCAACTTGAATTACTTCTCTGGTTTTCTGTTTATTTTCCAGTTCAAAGGAGAGTGGGGATTGGTTGCTATAGCAACAGCTATTCTCCAAATTAATCCTGAATTTCATCAGCTGTTCTCTTTGACAGTCCAATTCTGCCTTCTGACTGTCTGGCTTTCACAACCGCACTAATTACCTAGCTCCTAACGAGTCCCTCCTGCTGCTCTCAAGGTTAATGACACAACTTGTGTAATTTGAGAAAATGTGTATTATAAAAACAATGCTCCAGCCTGGGAGAAGCACTGCAGAGTGAGGAGGTCTTGGGGTTTTTAACCATTCACTGGCCATTTCTGAGCCAAATTTGCTAGGCCATTTAGCAAGAAAGCAGCTTGGGGGGAGCGGTGGGGAGAGAGACGGGAGATCAATTCACAGGATGCTTCGGGAAGGGAAGGTTCTGGAAAATGGAGGGTTTCTTGCTGTGGAAACAGAGAGTACCTTTCTGATCTACATACAACCTTGAGGGAAGATGATTAGTTTTATTGCTTTTAAACGAAAAGACCAAGAATTTAGAAGGCCGATCAGGATTCTCTTCATACCTCCGCCTATCCCAACTTTGTTCCAGGAAGTCGCCATTCCTACAATGGCAAAGCGGCATATCCGCTACTGTCCTAAATCACAGGCAGAAGCACCTTTCCACTCCCAAGGGCCTTTCCTAACAGAGGCCAGGAAGAGTCTCACAGAAAGTAGCAGTTTCCACTTCAGAAACAGAGAGATCTCTCCGTGAAAGAATTGTCTGAAGCCTCATTACTGCGTTAAGTCAGTCAATGCAAGATTTGTTCTTCAAAATTTTCCTCCCCAAAACTCAGTTTCAAACATCTCATGTGGTCACAGCTTCACCAAATGGCCCCCTGGTCTCGAGTCTGGAAGCCCAGGGTAGCGAGGGTGAGAAAATCCAACTAGACGGGCAGTTCCCCACAGACAAGGAGGCCGTCAGGGTTGAGTCACTGGGTTTCCTGGTTTGGACAATGGAGGGCTTTTTAATTCACTCATTGTCTTTTCTTAAACCAAAACTCTTTCTGGACGTTGGGTGGCATGCCCAGGAAGAACCTCGGCCAAGCAGGCCACCCACTGCCAGCCGTGGGCTTCACAGAAAGCAGAAGAAATGGAAAGAAATGGGGCACCGCCTGCAAAAGCTGCAGTCTCGCTAAGAACCACTCACTCCTGCCGAGGCCATCAATGCTACTTGGGACCCAGTAACAGATCCCAGAAGGCAGGGCCCATGGCTAGGGGACAGAGTTGTGAGGAGGAGGGGCTCAGGGGCACCATATGGGACTGGCCATCAGGTCCTACCCTTCCACTGCCATCCTGGGGGTGTTTCCATGGGAACGCAGCAGGCTCCCAGCTGCAATGGGCTCCACCAACCACCAGCACACACTCCGCTCCTGACCCTTCCCTCCACAGCTCTGCTTGTTCCTTCCCTTCTCACACACACTCCCAACTCTTCTGGCTATGACAGAAACCTCACCCAATGACCCCAGGCTGCAGCAAGGGCTCTTGAACTTTACACAGTGCGTGCCTAAAAAATGCATGCTCCCCAATTCTGGCAGTGATGGGGCTCAAAGCCCTTCTGGGCAGACAGCCTCAGTTTCCCCTCATGGAACACAGCTGAGGTCTTTACAGAGGGCTCGCTGGACCCTCAACCGTGAGGCAGAGGTGGAAAATCCAGGCCTGTGCTTGTTTATCCCACTTCCAGCTGGAGTCACTGCGGGAGCCACCAGGG